TAACAAACGGAGACGGAACAGTATCTAAACTAGCACAATAAACCAGTTAATCAAATTTTAGGTACTTTGTCAATGAGAATTCAAAATATTTTTAACTGTGCATTTATTATAAACATGTACATTCAAAAAGTAGCTAAAAGTCCAACTAGTTTGTGATTAAAAGTACCAATGTTGGTTACTATTAGCCTGACAGAGATAATGTTTTATGAACATTTCACATCAAAGACAACATTCTATTATTGAATTGTTACCAAGTCATCTATAAATATTCATATCATTGCTGTAAGAAAGATTATATTGTTTCAACAATTCGAACACATAAAACTTGGATAAAGAAACACTCGAAAAGAACGGCCTAAAGGCAAAAACCATGTTTCAAACTAACTCCACAACTAAATGTAGGCCTAACTTCAAATATAACGAAAGCTTGGAAGGGTATCTTCCGAGTTCTAAACATAGCCCGCCTAAATAACCAAAATAGACTCCAAAATAGCAAGCAAATATTGTGTTTTTAAGATTGTTTATAAATTATTAAAATATTCGTATAATAAAAGCGGATTTTATACAATACCTCTTATATCTTTATGCAAATTGTTTCGAAATATGAAATTTTGAATAATTTCTTGAAATTTAACTAAAGGATCATAAACTCGTCTGAAATAATTAAGTAAAATACATTTGGTGGTTGCCTGACCTAAATTGACTCTTATAGCTATATATTTTTCTGTATGATATTACATAACCTTTCAAAATAAAGTTAAAGTGTCTATTATAAAAAGGCCTAAGTTCTTGACGGAAAGCAATAATCTTATTATTTCTGTGAAGCCAAAAGTCATTAAATAGATGAAAAAGTAAAAGAGAGAGAGAGAGAGAGAAAGTCTTATCAAAATCAGCTAGTGTGATACTAGCTTGTAAAGAACCGACTTTGTGTTAGACAAGTGATGACAGTTTTCCTGAGTTATTACTACTGAAACCAGTTGTGATATAGAAGATGTATTATTGTTAAAAAGATACGGTAATAGATAATAGCATTAGTAGTTATCAAAAATTCACGTTGCAGCTGCAAATAGATTTTGGGAATAACTCACAATTTATAATACGTCTTATTAAAGAAGAAAACCAACCCACTTTCAGGTATGCATTAGACTAAAACTATAGTACAAAATAAAGCAAAACAAATATGTTACCCGGTCAACAAAATGTTTATCTATCTCTTTTAATTATAACAACCAATATAAAAATAAAATA